ACAGCCCAACATAAACTTACATAATTACAACCATTACATTCATTTCAGTGAATGGCCGAAAACAATATTATACAGAAAACCTTGTAAAATAGTCAAACTGCAGTAAATAAAAAAAGGAAATGAATACTTTGTAACATAAAAACGAAAAAGCAACATCATGGAAGGACAGCGACATGAGAGGATTTACTTGCAGGTTCCCCCGTATCATCCCAGATTTGTCTGCTAGAAAAGAAGAACAATAAAATCAGGTTGTGGATTTTTTGTGCTGAAAGATTCACAAATCTCTCTTTCTAAGATGTAAATGTGACTTTAAAAACGAGGTTATGTAGCCAAAGAATTTTCCACCCAAATGCCAGCTAGTACTTACATCTTGTTTTGTCCCAAAGATACAAAATAATCTTGACTTAAGTGTTAAATGATAAACTGACTGCACAGTCATTTTCACAAACAATGAAATTCACTCATAGTGCTTCAGTTTCTTAGAATAGTCTAAAAATCAAAACAGAAAACAAAAGTGACAGTTTCAGATTTAATTTCCAGCTTATATGAATTATAAAGGGCACAGAGTTAAATATTTTCTAGGAACATAGTGCCTTTTCATAATACAATCAAGTAACTTTAACAAACTTCAGCTGTTATAAAAAGTGTTGTACATATCAAACATGACTTAAAAGAAATGTCACTTTGCCATTTACACACTTTAAATTGTGGACCCCAGGAAGAGTAGCCATGTTTAAAATGGGTCTCTGTCTCTTTAAGAAGCGCCTGCTCTTCTGACACTGCCTTCAGGATGTCATCTCAACATCACTCCTTCATTAAGTGTTTACAGCCATTCTTAGTAGCGTTGGACTGAGGAAGCAATCCCTAACATGAGCTCAGCAGAGGGGCTGCTCCACCAGCCGTTTGCTAATTGCTGCTGCCACTAGTCTTAAGGGGTTGGATCAGTGACGTACGAGGGAGGTATGCTTTGTCGGGCGTTATCTCAGCTAAAGTCGGAAAAGCCAGAAATAGCTTTTGGGGCAAAAAAACCACAAAAAGCTTGATAACATTATAACATGATATACAACTAATGGAAAAGTTGATTTTCCATTATGTTTCCCCCTGAAATAGCAAAATATTTCTAATAAGTGCAAATAAAAAACACTTCTCACCAAGCACAGCAAGGCAACCAATGAATTTTTACTTCCTCTTTCCCCTAGACAGAACATAAAACAGAAGAGAAATTAATTAAAGCAATCATCAGAAAGCAAATCCATAAAGTGTTTCTAAAATGCTTAAGCGTTGAAGCAGTTTTCACACATTATTGAAGAACAATAAGTGTTGAATCATAGGCTACCTTTAAAAAGTCCAAATAATCCCAACATCAACATTTCTTTGCTGATAAACGGCCTAATTATGATTTTTGGAGTTCTATCTCTATGTTTCTATGTTTTTACTTAAACAAGTCCTCTATGGTTTCTTTCGTTGACCTCATGAAGGTCAACGAAAGAAAC